TAAAGAAAATTAAAAAAATGTCGAAAATTAGCGATTTTTAAATTTGTAATTTTTGGGGGTATTTCCCCTGTTTACGGGAAACGAGTAAATTTTTTTCAAATTTTGAGGATAACTTCTTCGACTAGATACGATTTGTGATCTTTTGACATATTTTTCATCAATATCGGTCCAGCGAGGGCTAAGATTGAGCATTCACAAACACAAAAAAAAACACATCATAGTAAAATTAATACCTTCTCAGCTTCGCATCGAAGCTAAAACTATAATTCATACCTAAAAAATACATGCAAATATAATAGATATTTTAAATTAATATTATTAAATCATCAATGTTTTTTTGTATAGGTATTAATTTTGTTTGAATCAAAGAAATTACTTAGTTTCTTACTTGTATCATTTTTATTTTTATTTCTGATGGAACTCGATCATCATAAAATTGAAGTGCAATATTTTCAAAAGAAAGATACCAATAACTCCTAAATTAATGTATAGCGGCTTTAGAAATTACAACATCTGGGAATTCAGCTAATTATTTTAAAAAGTTATAATATTTATTTTATTTTGTTTCCTAGAATATTGAGTTGAATTAATCGTAAATGTTATCATACACAATAATCATTATTTACTATTTAGTACATTTTTATGTTGTGTAATTAATATGCTAGTGTATTTTTATAATATTTTAGTTTCAGTATTTTTTTTTTAATCTTAATTTTATACCTTTTACTCAACGTTTTAAAAATATTATGAATTTATTTAAAGCAACCTTTAAATACAATGTGAAATTTATTTAGTTGGACATGTGAATAATCAAATTGTTGCAGGTAAATTTCTATCTAACAAGTTTTAGGTATTTCTTTTGCAAATTGCGGCATGTACAATTAAATTTTTGTAAAAGCAAAAATTAGTTTTTGTAGAGATGTAATTTTATTTTGGTAAAAAGCTAGAATTCTTTTTCACGATAAGCAACATTGCATTTTAAAACTTGAAAAATTGTATACAAATTTAAGGGAATTACAAAAGTCATCAAAAAGAGTTACTAAAGAACAATTAAAAATAAATAAATGAATTCAGTAAACTATAACCTGATTTATTTGATATATTACACTTAAATGCCGTGGATATGATCACAATTGAGGATGATTAACAATTTTTAATAATGCAAAGGAAGAAAATAAGGCCTGGTTGTCTGCTTGTTACAGCTTATAAATCATTTTAAAAAGAAAGCAACGAGGATAATAATTTAAAATTAATTGAAAAACAAAAAAACGTTCTTATTTATGAATGAAAAAAATTCATAAGTTCTAATTACAGTTTATATTTTTTTTTAATATAACTTTATTATATTAACTTAAAGTTAAAACCAAAAGAAATTTTCATTACAAGCCATTAATGTTATAATGATTGCAAAAAAGCACATTGATGAATCAATAATATTAATTAAAAATAACTATTTAAGTTGTATGTATTATTTTAATACTATATCTACAAATTATATATTTTTAATTTTTGTTAGAAAATCTTAGTTTTTGAAATAAACAAAAAAAACTAAAAATCTACGTTTGGGGTCCAATTTTAAACCATTTTGCGGCACGTTTTACAGTTAATAGATATTTAAACAAAATTTTGTGAAACTTATTTTTTTTCATAATTCAAAAAAGTAGGGGGGTGTGACGATTAAAGTTCAATAGTTAATAATTAAGGGACACTCTAAATTTATGTATCTATGTGGTGTACAATATAAAAAAAAAACTTTTTTAGATCAATAAAAAATAAAAATAATAATAAAAATATATAAATAAATTGTTAATAATTAAGCCCATGGCATTTTCTTAGCAGGCCAGATGTCTACTTCTTTGTTGTATATATAATGATCATTGACCAACTGTATATTACAGCAAGGTCAGTTCGTTCCTGCTTATATAATTAATCATTGATAGATAAAAAAACATAAAAATTAACTAAGAAATAAATATAAAAATTTAAGAAACTAAACATTTTAAAAATTCAATAAAATAAATAAAGCTTAAAATACAAATGAGATCTTTATTTAAAATTATAAAAACACAACGTATCTAAATACATCAATACTAATACAATAGTATAAAATATTATAGTGACAGAGATATATAATTGAATTATTAGGATAAAACATTGCAACATGCAAATGATCATTTCCCAAAATTTATATGAACATGTATATAAATATGCACATGTGTTATTTTGTATGATTATGTATAAAATTTCACAATAATTATCTTAAATAAATATGCTCACTCACATTTAAAAAAAACCTGAAAATTACATAGTACATTTTATAAAAACTTTATCAGACAGTAGTAAAAATAAAAGTAAAAAACAATAATGTACAAAAGTGTATATGCAAATAATGGAGAAAAGCTCAAATATTAAATTATAACCGTTATTATGTAGCACCAAGGATAACAATACAGTCTGTCGAAGGGATAAAAAAATACATGTAACTTGATAGTAAACTGATAGATAACTTAACGAGTAACGTCATTATAATAATCATGATGTTAATTTATAATCATAAGGACAGTTATTATTTTAATGATTATTTTAATTTCTGAACTTATCGTAAATTCACTGTTTTATTATTTTTTATTTCTAATTATTATTTATTCATATTTGGGATTAATATTGTTCATATGACTTATTAAACTCAAAGCATAACATAGTACAAGTGTTTACTAACTGATCTTATCGCATTACAATATACTAACCGTAGAGGTCAAGTTTACATTACGACAGTTAGTATTATACGTAATTATATAAATAAATAAGTATAAATAAGTAATAATTTATAAATTAATGATAGACGCCATGAAAAAATTGTATTTTTACAAAATTATAAATATTTTTATTTTATTTTCCCGATTTCACACAAGCAAATACAAAGGACGGACTTAAAATATAAAATAAATTATATTTTCTTCTTGATAGTTCACTATACTGTCAGTCTCTGTGGTGAATAATCAAAATAATATACTCTAAGGTCAACTAAAAAATTCGATTTGATTTTTTGTTATTGAGGTAGGTGTACGACGTTATTTTCATGTTATATATCATCAATTTATTTGTGAAAACTCAATTTCTATTTTCTTTCTTTAAACAATATACATTTATAACTGTATGTACTGTAATTACTTTGGTAGTATTCGGTAGTCGAATTTGCTTCATATATTCGCTATAGATGCATAGCAAAACGACTAAGTCACTCGCTTAGAAGACTAGATTGGACACATGAATTTCAACGAATTTTGTAAACATAGGAATGATTTAAATTTTATTGCCTGTAAGAAGGGTGGAATAGTCTAACACCATTATGGTGAGTAGGTATAGTCGTGTGATTTCGGGATCTGATACCCGCAGATGGCCACTGTTGAGCGGGCATTTGAGGAGCTTTTGGTGGATTCGGAGTGTTATGCGGCATTGTTTTCCAGCTTGGAACAGAACCCGGTCGATTTCGGACGCCTCTAGGCTCTGTAAACGAGCTAAGTGAAACGTTGGTGGGTCGCATACAAGGATCCGGTGGAAGACGAGCTTTAGCGCCGGGTCCCTTGTGCCGAATAACTACGGTATCTACTGATAAATCGGCATAACTGGCTCGTCGACGATCATCTGGTGATAAGGGCGGTGGTGGAGGTGGTAGCGGCATGGTTGCTGCAGTCTCCTGACTAGAATTGGAATGGACTCCGCTAGAAGATTCGCTGTGACCACTGTATGCGGCTTGTGGTGAATGGCCAGCTGCTGATGCCTCAGACTCAGATTTAGTTTCTTCAAAGTCATCCATAGCACTAATTTTAAGACAAGACACGTTTGATGATTTGTAAATTGGATAATCTTGTTTGTTCGCCTAAAATCATTATATATATATTTATTATTAAATACTGTTTCTTTACTGTAGTTTGGAATTAATATTACATTAAGTGTTATTTTAATTTCTATATGAGGCATAGCGGGGCTAAGTGACGTAAATGTTGAATATTCAAAATAATTTTTACTCCGTCTAAATAATCTACGTACCCATGTCAATAATATGGAAATAATTTAACTTACAAACTATTTGTAAATTATAGGAACAAAAATCCAAAAATAGAGACTTGTCAATGGATTTATATTGGGAAATTGAATAGATTTTTACCCCCAAAAAATGTTTGGTATTTAGGTCGCTTTGCCTCGCCATAATTTATATATACTTCACAAATTATTTACATGTGTTTTGCTTGCATTAAACTCTGCAGCTGAACTTATATTGTCTTCAACTGGAGGTGGTGGAGGTGGCGGAGTTGCCGGTGAATAAAATAATTCTCTAGTATTGGCACTGGCATATGTTATAACACCTTCCCTTACAGTGTCTAAAAGCTGTATAAAAAATATGTAAATTGATCGTTTAATAGTAAATGAAATTAAAATCTACAAATATGTATTTACTTTGGTATCTTCTGAAGTATTATCATCACTATGGTCGTTCACGCTAGGACGTGGGATCATTGGCAATTCCCGTAACTTGGCATAATCGCCGTCATCTTCAGGACTCATTCTCCTCCGCTCCACTTTTTGTAGTGGAATTCCTCTGCAAGTGTAAACATTATAATACTAGATTCTTTAAGGGAATTTTTCATAAAAACGTTCATAATAAAATAAAAATATAAAGGGCAGTTTTCGTTTATATAATGTTTTTCCTTTGAAAGTATACTTTCAAACGTCGTAGTATATAAAAGTTATATTTTTGTTCGTAAATAAAAACGTGTTAAGCATAATACACCAACAAAACAAGAAATTGTATACCTAATAAGTATCAAATGTGGCTTAATATAATATTTTTAAGGTTGATGTTCACACTAGCAAAAAAGTAAAGTCGGATAAAAATTTATTTCATTTAATATTATATTCATTTTAAATAATTGTTATTTTTTCGTAAAATTTTAGAAATTAATCAATATTTTTGGTGTTAAACCAACTTCCTGGATGTCTACCGCAACAAAAAAATTGAAATGTTTAAATCAATTTCCTATTTTAAAATTAAACGTACCATACAGTATGGCTTATATTGTATGCTAACGTAAAAAATTTAGCTAGTTCAAATTTTAAAGTTATTTTTCTCGACTTCAAAGAAACAAAAAAATTTAAATATGTTTAACTTTTTATACTATGTCAATTAGATTGAAATAATATTTATCAAAATCAGTGCAATCCCCTTATAATAAAATAAAATACAAAACCAAGAATTTTAACACAAATTAGAATATTTTTGAATACAGTAGCTATTTTCACCATGAAGACAAAATAAAGTCCGAAATTTTTTTTTACCATAATAAAGTGTATTACATTAGCTTTAATTTAAGATATATATAAAAGTGTCAGTCTTTCCGGAACACTTTCAAAACTTAAATTGAAAAAGTTCTACTCTCTACATGCATCTTTTAGATTTGAACCCCCCTCAAATATAGGGAAATGGTCCGATTTAAAAAAACAGTATGCCGAATGAAAGCTGTATATAAATACTACTTCTCATGAAATAATTGTATTGATCCATACATTTTTCAAGTTATAGCATAATAAAGTTAAAAATGTAAAATACAAAATCGAAAATATTCACACAAAAATAGCATTTGGTAGCCATTTTTACCGTGAAGATAAAATAAAGTCCGAAATTTTTTTTTTCCATGATAAAGTATATTACATTAACTTTAATTTAAGATATATATAAAAGTGTCAGACTTTCCGGAACATTTTCAAAAGTCAAGTTGAAAAAATTAACTTTTTGTGAAAAAGTTGTCATTTTAAATCCCCCCTGTGGACAGGTAAAGGATCAAATAT